AATTTTAATATCCTGGAATCACAGTCAAGATTACAGAGGACCTAGCAGCTTCTGCATGAAAGGATCAGAGGACTTAGAATGTGATTTTTCAGAAGGCAAAGGACCTTGGATTACAGCCAAGAATCAATTCCCCAGCAATATTGAGCATAAGCTTTCAGGGCAGAAGATACACATTCAACGAAATAAGGGACTTCCAAATTTTCCTGATAAAAAAACCAGAGCTGAACAGAAAAATCAATATTCAAATACAAGACTGAAGAGAAGTATAAAAAGGTAAACAGGAAAAAAAACATGTTATTCAATAATGTTAAACTATTTGCATCCCTATATGGGAAAATGATACTTGTAACTCTGGAGAACTATGTCTTTATTATGACATTTATAAGGGGTATACTTGGACAGATAGCATGGGTACAAATCGACTTTGATGTGATGATTAAAAAAATTAATTAAGGGGTGAAATAAAAGATTGTACTGGGAGAAGAGTAAAGGAGGAGGTAGAAAAGGTTACTTACATCACATGAAGAGGCAGAAAAACCAAATACAATAGAGGGAAAGAAGGGAGGGAGGTAAGCATTGTTTGAACCTTACTCTCATTGGATTGGGCTCAAAGAGGGAATAACACACACTCAGTTGGGTATAGAAATCTATCTTACCCTATAAGAAGTAAGCAGGGAAATGGGTAGGCAAAAGGCAGGGGGCAGATAGCACTAAGGGCAGAAGAGAGGGAATAATTAATAGGGGAAAGGGGAAGGAAAAGGCAGGGGGCTGATAGAACAGAGGCCAGAATGAAGGAGATGGTGGTCAGAAGCAAAATACTGGTGAGGAGGGAAAGGGTGAAAAAAGAGAGAAAATCATAAATCGGGGGTGAGGGATAATATGACAGAGAGAAAGACACAGATAGTAATCATAACTGTGAATGTGAATGGAATGAACTCTCCCATAAAATGGAAGTGGATAGTAGAGAGGATTAAAAACAAGAATCTTACAATATGTTGTTTACAAGAAAGATGTTTGAAGCAGAGAGATACACACAGAATAAACATAAAAGGCTGGAGCAGAATATGTTATGCTTCAGCTGAAGTAAAAAAGAAAAAAAAACAGAGGTAACAATTCTGATCTCAGACAAAGCAAAAGCAAAAATACATCTAATTAAAAGAAATAAGGAAGGAAACTACAGCCTGCTAAAAGATATCATAAACAATGAAGTAATATTAATACTAAACATATATGCACCAAGTGGTGTAGCAACCAAATTCTTAGAGGAGAAGTTAAGTATGTTACAGGAGGACATAGACAACAAAACTGGACTAGTGGGGGACCTCAACTTTCCCCTCTCAGAATTAGATAAATCTAATGACAAAATAAACAAGAAATAAGTTAAGGAGGTGAATAGAATTTTAGAAAAGTTAGATTTGGTAGACCTCTAGAGAAAATTGAATGGGGATAGAAAGGAATAGACCTTTTTCTCAGTAGTACATGGCACCTACACAAAACCTGACCATGCACTAGGACACAAAAACCTCACAATCCAATGCAGAAAGGTAGAAATATTAAATTCATCCTTTTCAGATCATGATTTATGAAAATTACATGTAATAAAGGGTCATGGAAAGATAGACTAAAAATTAATTGGAAACTAATTAGTCTAATCCTAAAGAATGAATGGGTCAAAAAATAAGTCATAGAAATATCAGTAACTTCATCTAAGAGGATGACAATAATGAAACAATATACCAAAGCTTATGTGATGCAGCCAAGGCAGTTCTTAGAAGAAATTTTGTATTTCTAAATGCTTAATTAATAAAATAGAGAAAGTTGAGATCAGTGAACAGGGCATGCACTTAAAAAAGCTAGAAAAAGAAGAAATTAAAAATCCCCAATTAGTTACCAAATTAGAAATTCTGAAATTCAAAGGACAGGTTAACAACATTTAAATTAAGAAAACTATTGAACTAATGAATAAAACAGAGAACTGGTTTATTGGAAAAGACAATAAAATGGATAAACTTTTGGTTAATTTTATTTTAAAAAAGAAAGAAAAAACCAAATTACTAGTATCAAAAATGAAAATGGTGAATTCACCACTGATGAAGAGGAAATTAAAAGAAAATGATTAGGAACTATTTTGCCCAAGTATATGCCAATAAATTTAACAATCTGAGTAAAATGGATGAATATTTACAAAAATATGTATTGCCTAGATTAAGAGAAGAGGAAATAAAATACTTATATAAACCCATTTCAGAAAAAGAAATTGAACAAACCATCAATGAACTCCCTAAGAAAAAATCTCCAGGGCCAGATGGATTGACAAGTGAATTCTACCAAACCTTTAAAGAACAATTAATGCGAATACTATATAAACTATTTGGAAAAATAGGTGAGGGAGTCTTACCAAATTTTTTTTGACACAAATGGTGTTTGGAGACAGTGTGAATATCTCAGTGCTTGGGGATAATGGATCTTACAGATGAACCTAAAGATCCAAGCTTTGAGGACACAAACTTATTATTTGACAAAAATTGCTGGGAAAACTTGAAAGTAGTTTGGCACAAATTGGATCAATATCTCATACTATACAGCAAGAGAAGATCAAGATGGACACACCATTGAAACATAAAAGATGATACCATAAGCAAATTAGAGTAGCATGAAATATTTTCCATTTACATCTATGGATAAGGGAATAATTTATGACCAAACAAGAAATAGAAAGCATTATAGGCTGTCAAATGGAAATTTTTGATTACATTAAATTTAAAAGGTTTTGTGTAAACAAAACCATTGCAGCCAAGATTATAAGAAAAGCAGTGAACCAAGGCGGAGTGTGAGTGGAGAGGAGATTTTACAGCAAGTTTCTCTAATAAAGGCCTCATTTCCCAATGAGAACTTAGAGAACCAAGTTAAATTTATAAGAATAAGAGTCATTTCCCAATTAATAAATGGTCAAAAGATATAAGATAGTTTTCAGAGGAAGAAATCAAAGCTATGTATAGTTATACGACAAAATGCTCTAAATCACTATTGACTAGAGAAATACAAAATAAAGCAACTCTGAAATATTGCCTCACACCAATTACATTCGCTAATATGACAAAAGAAGGAAAGTAGCAAATGTTGAATGGAATGTGGAAAAATAGGGACACTGTTGGTAGAATTGTGAACTGATCCAATAATTCTGGAGAGCAATTTGGAATAAAGTCCAAAGGGCTATAACACTGTGAATACCCTCTGACTCGGATATACCACTACTACATCTGTATCCTAAAGAGATTCCCCCAAAAAGGAAAAGGATTTATACATATAAAAATATTAATAACAGCTCCTTCTGTGATGGCAAAGAATTGGAAATTTAGGGGATGCTCATCAATTGAGGAAAGACTGAATACTGAATATGACTGCTATGGAATACTATTGTGCTTTCACAAATGATGACCAAAAAAAAATTTTTTTTATGGAAATGATGAGCAGCATGGTTTCAGAAAAACCTAGAAACATTTACAAGACCTGGTGCAAAGTGAAATGAGCAGAGCCAGGAGACCACTGTGTACAGCAACAGCAATATTGTACAATGATCAATTATGAATGACTTAGCTATTCTCAGCAATACAATGATCCAAGAAAATTCTAAAGCACTTATGAGGAAAAAATGCTATACACATCCAGAGAAAGAACTGATAGAGTCTGAGTGCAGATCGAAGCATACTTTTAAAAAATTTTCTTTATTTTCCTTCATTTTTTTTCGGTCTGGAATTTCTTTTACAATCTGGCTAATACAAAAGTGTTATCATGATTGCACATATATAATATTTATCTAATTGTTTGACTTCTCAAAGAAGGTAGAGTAGTTAGAGAGAGAAAGAGGATTTGAAACACCAAATTAAAAAAAAAAACAAACAAATGTTAAAAATGGTGATACGTGGAGCTGGGAAAAAAAGACAAAACTTTTCACACAAAAAAATAGATAAATTGAGGAAAAGGGGAAGGATTAAGAAAGGGATTGGTCTGCTAATAGGTGTTGTTAAAATTATTATAATGGATGCAAGAATGAAGATGGAGCTATACAGATCTGGTATGCTTTGTTTTATTTGCCATAAAGAATGGCCATTGGGCCAGGGAAGATAGAACAAAAATGACTAACAGGACAGTTATGCTCAGTCTAAGTAAATAAAGAGATTGTACAAGATTGCTTGGCTGCCCTGAATAAGTTCAGGTCACTAAGCCCAGAGGGAGTCATATACATACATACACCCCTGGATAGTGAAAGGACAGATGGATGTGATTGATGAATTTCTACCTAGATCTTCGGAAGATCTCAAATGTCTAGACTAATGCTGAAAGACTGAAAAGAGGTGAATATGGTGCCAATCTTGAAAAGAAAACAAGAAAATGAAAATACTTCCCTTTTTCCTGCTTCATTCTCTAGAACAAGTGTTTTTTTAACCATCTTGTGTTATGAACCCCTTGGGCAGTGAGTCTTGTGTGGCCTATGCTCCTCCTTCAGAATCGTATTCGTCAATGTATAAAATATAATACAGAGAATTACAAAGGAAAGTAATTATATTGAAATACAGCTTTAAACATTCCCAGTTCATAGACTATCTGAAATCTATTGGTGGATCCCAGGTTGAGAATCTTGGCTCTAGAGCAAAGCAGCTGTTTGCCTCTACAGCATCCTATGCCAACAATCACCAGGCATATGTTGAGTGCTTTCTATTGGCCATGCACTGTGCTAAGGGTTGGGGAAACAAAGAAAATGCAAAAACAGTACTTATCCTCAAGAAGCTTACCTTCTATTGGGGTGACAATATATATATATAAATCAGCATACATAAAAGAAATATAAAGTAGATGGAAGATAGGCTTAGAGGAAAAGACACTAGCAGTTAAGGGGCATTGAAAAAATTTTATTGGGAAAGGCCACAGAAGGGGGGCGTGGTGGGTAAGTAGGAGGAGCTGGCAACAGGTATTTGCTGGACCTTGCGCTGGGTGGCCCATCAACGGGCCACAATGCAAAGCTTATAGGAGGGAGGGACGTTGCCAAAGCCAGACATCTTGGGGGTGATGTCAATCTCACTGGTGGGAACCAGAGATTGGAGGGAGAAGCTCTGCAAGATGGCTGTGAAGTAGAGGAAGAGCTCCATCCTGGCCATGGCCTCCCCCAGACACACACGTTTCCCTAGGGAGAGCCACCATTATCCACAGAACCAGCAATGGAGAAAAAGAAACATGGAATATGGATCATTGAAACATGTACAAACAAATGAACCAAATCAAATAAATTTCATATATAGGCTAATCTCAATGGGGCTGGGGAGGCAGTTCTAAGATTCTAAGATTGTACTTGTCTGAAGGTCCAAAAGCAGGAGTGTGCCATAGCCAGTACTTACTGCCTCCAAGGAGCCTATGGTCAAATTCTCCCTATTAATCATTTACTCCTCAGAAATTTTTGTTGATTTAAGTTGTAGAAAGTGATGGAGAATGATTCAGATTAAACTTAAAAGTGTGTCATAGATGCATTTATTTTTTCAGAAAGCTAGTTGTGAAATACTTACCAGCACATCCCTGATTCCATGTATCTTAGAGCTATAAGACACCAAGATTCGAAGAGTCTAACCACTGAATATTGTGTTTTCTTACAACCCTAAAATTCTGTTGTTCCATGAGACAATGGAGAGTATCAGTGACCCTGAGTTCAAATCGCATCTATGATTCTTATTTCTTGCATGAGCTTGGCCAAGTCTCTTTTCTTCTCTGGGCCTCAGTTTCCTCATGTGTAGAATGAGGCTGTTGAACTCTGAGGATCCCTTAAACTCTAAGGTTGCGGTCTTGTGATTCTCTTCTAAGATTCTAACATCTATGGTTATGTCCCAGCCTTATAGCCCATGCTCTAATCCCAGACCCTGCAATGTCTCTGAGCAGGAAGAATGGAAAGAAGGGGGAGGTTTCTAAGAACCCACCAGAAGCAAATGGCACGAAGGCTTCGTTCTTCTTGAAGCGTCCCTGCTCATCAAGAAAATGCTTTGGTTCGAAGATTTCAGGTTTTGAGAAATACTTAGGATCTCGAAGAGCAGAGCCAATGAGAGGGAAGATATCAGTGCCCTGGAGGGAAGGTAGGTATGAGTGTAATGAGCAGAGCCAGCTCTAGGATAGAGGGGCCGGAGCTGGGCTGGGGAGCAGGAAAGCAGAGAAAAGGATTTGATGGGGGAGACACACCAGGAGGAGCCCCTTACCTTTGGTAGGATGTAACCTCGGAAGTGGGTGTCTCGTGTGACTGTGTGAGGGACACCCATGGGCACAATGTCTGTAATCCTCTGGATCTCATGGATGACTGCATCAGTGTATGGCATCTGCATCCGGTCCTCTGCCTTGGGGAATCTGTGTTGCCCAATGACTTGATCAATCTCCTCTTGGACCTTGGCTAGAAGGGTCAGAAATCTTGAGAATCTGACATTCAGGCTCAAAGGAGTCTCATATGAGAGATTATGTGACTTTGGGTAAGTCCCTTTCTTCTCTAGGCTTCTGTTGTGAACTATGGAGGTTGGTTGAGATATCTTCCCATTCTAAGTCATTGAACCTGCCAACCTTAAAATGAGAGAACCTTGGAATCATTGACTCTTAAAATAATGAACCTAGGGCTGAAAGGGACCTCAGAGGTGATCTAGTTAAATGCCCTTAGCTTACAGAGGAGGAAACTAAGGCCTATTATTATTTTCTAAGCTCATATAGATCAATGGCAGAGTCAGGATCTGAACCCAGGCCTTCCAAATCCCAAATCCAGTGCTCCTTTCTATAGTACCACACTGCTTCCAATAAGCAACAGCCTAGAGCTACATAGCGTAACAAAGCCATAAAAAATGACCTAGAAATCTCTTGGGATCATGGAATCTTAAAATCCTACTTCAGAATCCTAGAATCTGATTATCATAAAGCCTTTCAATCATGAGATCTTGGAGAAACAAAACTTTAGTTGCCTAGAATTCTAGAATTATGGGAATGATAGATTTGGATTTGAAGAATTATGGAATGTTTATAATGGTCAATAAGAGATGAAAAAATTTCCTCCCTTCACACGGGAGTGGTGGACTATGGGTATAGAACAGTGCATGTGCTGTAAGGCTCCATTAATGTGTTGTTCCATTTTGTCAAATCCTCTTTCTTATCCTTTGTTACAGAAGATAGTCCACATGGGAGGGAAGAAGGAAGTGAAGGTGATATGAATAAAAACAACCTCCCGTACCCACTAATTAATTCCCTGTGCCTCAGTTACCTCAACTGTAAAATCAGGGGGTTGGCCAAGTATGCACCTACCATCCCATGGCATCAATTTTAAAGATCATTTTTACAATAGCTTTCATTTATATAGCAATGTATAAATATCATCTACTTTTATCCTCACAATAACTCTGGGGGATAGTTGTTATTTCTGTTTTACAGATTAGGAAACAGGTAGGTTAAGTGACTTGCCCAGGGTCACACAGCTAGTGTATGAGGCTTGATTTGAATTTAGGTCTTTCTGACTCATTAATGCCAATACTCTATGCTACCAAGCTGCCTCTGTTTAATCTTTTTTCGGCCTCTTCCAACTTTTTGTGACCCTTTTTGGGGGTTTTCTTAGCAACGATACTGGAATGGTTTGCCATTTCCTTCTCCAGCTCACTTTACAAATGAACAACTGAGGTAAACAGGGTGAAGTGACTTGCACAGGGTCACACAGCTAGTAAGTGTCTGAGGCCAGATTTAAACTCATGAAGATTCATCTTGCTGATTCCAAGCCCAGTCCTCTATGCACTATGGTGTCCTAGCTGCCTCTGTTGCCAACTCTAATTCCATTTTTATAAGACTGGCAGGAAAAGAGTTGGAAGGAGGGTTCAATTCATTTCCATTCAACAAGCATTTAAGTATTAAGCACATACTACCCTCCAGAACAGGGCTAAGCACAGGATTTAGGATTTGTTTGTTTTTTAAACCAGACCGTGATTTCATCAATCCTTATATTAATGCAGAGTAGGAAATTCCTTGTACCCAATACAGATCAGCACTTACCTAAAGCAGTAGGATGTAAGGATACAAAGGCAAAAAAAATGAAAGAAAGAAAAAAAAAGCCCCAACCCTACCTCAAAGAGCGTATGTTCTACTGAGAGATGCCACAGGTGAAGATATGGCAAATGCATGCTTTTTTTGAGGAGAGCAGATTAGATGGGACACCTGAGTTGAAATTGGGAGGAAAGAGAGCATGGCAGGACCAGGGCTGCTTGTGAGAAGGCAGCAAAGGCTGGAAATGGGGGCAGCAATCATGCTACTGAGTTATCGTCCTTGAGAATCAAGGAGGACCAAAATGACATCATTATGGAGAGGTGAATGTACACTGGGTCTGACTGTGGCTGATCAGACCAATACAAGCTCAGAAGACTACCACAGGTTGGGCACAATGAGGAACAAGAGAAGGAGTGATGTGTCCTCTATAAATTTGGAAAGGTAGGTCTAAATTGTGGCCTCTGAGACTGACAGTGGGTCTGCCTCTTGGTTCTGGGCAGAGGCTATGATCTATACGAGTACAGTGAAGAATAGGCTTTCACATAAAACCAGTACCTTTATTGGTTTCCTTGACCCTAATAATTACAAGATGAGTGTGGGAGTATGGTAAAGATGTTTCTTTAAAAGAGCATCAATAAAATATTTTAAATGTTATTTTTCAAGCATCTATTTTAACTATTATTTTGCTTTCTTTCCAAATCATACTATTCTAAAGAGTGGATTTAATACAACAAAAAAAATACTTATCGTGCTGTCTGACTCCATAGCTCTCCACACATGTTTTTGTCCTTTTCTTTCTTTCTTTCTTTCTTTATTTGGTCCAGAGTTTCAGATTTAGTTGGTATGGAGGACTGACTGTAGGGGAAACTTTCCCTCCCCACCTCCCTACCAGTGCAGAGGCCAAGTGTTCTGCAACTCTGTCTTGGGTACTTAGAGTTTAAAAGAGTTGTCTAGTGTTACACAGATATCATGTGCCAAAAGGCCTTGCCCCCAATTCTTCCTCACTACCAAAGTGAGCTTTCCATCCACTAACACCACACAGCCCATCATTGAACGGATAGGTGGATGGGTGGATACATAAAAAGATTGATAGATCAATAGATTGATGGATCAATAGATACATGGATGGATGGGTCAATGGATCAATGGATAGACATAAATGAATGGATGGATGATTAATGGTTAGGTGAATACATGAATGAGTGGATCGATGAATGGATGGGTAGATGAATTACACAGATAGTTAGGCATAGATAGATAGACAGATACATATACAGATAGATAGATAGATAGATAGATAAAGAGATAGATAAACACCTGAATTGTTGGAGTAGGAAGGTTTCGTGGTTTTTTTTTTTAGTGGAAGAAATATTGGATTACAAGCGATTATCTCCAAGGTCCCTTTTTAAGCCTGGCATGAGTGATTTTATGAGTAGCTTCCTCAGGGTCTTTCTCCCAGTGTCTCTCCCACCCCAATACTGTTGCTGTTACAATGTAAGCTCCTCGGAAGTAGGAATTGTTTCATTCTTTGTATTTATAACTCTAGCACCTGGCCCAAAGCCTGACACACTCAACTGTTTGTTGACTCCCTGATTGATTCAGGGGAACCAGAAGGTACATGGCCATCAGGGTCTCTCAGGGAATGAGGTTCTATTCAGGGCCAGACATGAGGGCAAAAACAATGGCGACCAGGAGGATGGTCAGGAAGAGGACTCACCTCCCACCTCTGGATGTTTCATGAGAAGCAGAAACCCATAGCGCAGTGTGGAGCTGACTGTTTCCGTCCCAGCAAAGAACAGGTTTAAAGTGGTGAGGACCAGGTTCTTAAGGTTGAATTCTGTCTGAGGATTGTCTTTTTCCTTGAGGTAGGGGGAGAGACACTGCACCTCAGAGTTCATGCTTTCCTCTGGTCTTCCACTGTAAGTCTCCTGTGCCTCCCCTCTCCCCATCCTTGGGTCTCAGGGGCTGGCCAGCTTGTCCTGGTAACAGGTATCTCTAGGAGTGGGACTTACGGAGATTGCTTAGGACTTACTGGAGAGGGGAGGGACTCGGCCATCTGGGGCTGGGAGGACTGAGGGGATGGAGAGGGCGTAGGAAGGGTGCTCCAGCCAGAGAATGGCAGAACTTGGCTCATGCAGGAAGTTTTCCTTTCTCTGGGAAGCCTGTCTTGACCCCCTTTAGTTCAAAAAAGATCACTGATCTAGCCTGAAAAGGACCCGAGGTTATGGGGTTCAATCCCCTCATTTTACAGATAAAGAAACTAAGGCTTTTAGAAATGCAATGACTTGCCCGAGATCATCTTGTCATAAGTAATGGAGAGTGGGACAGTGAAAAGATCTCTGGCTATGAAGCCAGAGGACCTGGGTTCAAAATCCTCCCTCTGATAGTACCTGCATAACCCTTGGGCTCCTCGGTTTACTTCTCTAGGGGTCAGTCTCCTCATCCTCTGTCAGATGAGGGGGTTGGGACTTCTAGCTCTAGATTTATGAGCCAGGTCCTGATTCCAACTCCAGTGTGGTTTCTCCTCGAATTATCATATACCTGTATGTATTTGCACATTCTTCCTCCTCCCCACCTTGAGAGAATGGTAGGTGTTTCTTATCCATACTACTTTGTACATAGTAAGAGCTCAATAGGTGCTTGATGAATGGGAAGATTGCTGGCTTAGAGTTGGAAAGGACTTTGGGTTCATCTAGTCTGATTCCTTTCATTTTACAGATGAGGAAACTGAGGTCCAGGTTGAGGAAGGGATTTGCCTAGTATAGCACAGGTAGTAAGTGGAAGAATCAAGATTTAATT